GAGAGGGAGAGGAAGAGGGACAGGAAGAGGAAGAGAGAGAGGGAGCGGGAGGGACAGGGAGAAGAGGAAAGAGAGGGAGAGGAAGAGGGATAGGGAGAGGGACAGGGAGAGGAAGAAAGAGAGAGAGAGGGAGGGACAGGAAGAGGGACAGGGAGAGAGACAGGGAGAGGAAGAGAGAGAGAGAGAGGGAGGGACAGGAAGAGGGACAGGGAGAGGAAGAGAGAGAGGGAGAAGAAGAGAGAGAGAGAGAGGGAGGGACAGGAAGAGGGACAGGGAGAGGAAGAGAGAGAGGGAGAAGAAGAGAGAGGGGGAGAGGGAGGGACAGGGAGAGGGACAGGGATAGGAAGAGAGACAGGGAGAGGGAGGGACAGGAAGAGGAAGAGAGAGAAGGAGAGAGAGGGACAAAGAGAGAGAGACAGGGAGAGGAAGAGAGAGAGAGACAGGGAGAGGAAGTGAGAGAGGGACAAGGAGAGGGACAGGGGGAGGGAGAGAGAGGGACAGGGAGAGGGACAGGGAGAGGGACAGGGAGAGGGAGAGGGAGAGAGAGAGGGAGAGAGAAAGGGAGAGGGACAGGGAGAGGGACAGGGAGAGGAAGAGAGAGAGAGTGAGAGAGAGAGAGAGAGGGACAGGGACAGGGACAGGGAGAGGAAGAGAGAGAAAGAGAGGGAGCTTATATGCTCTGCATTAGTCTATTGACATTGGTACTTGCCTCTATGAATGGAGGTTTTCCTGTGGCCATCTCCACGACGGTACAGCCTAGCGACCATATGTCAGCCTGAAACAAACAACCATGATAACGGTCAAGAAGAAAAACAGAAAAACTAGAAAGAAGGCACTCGAGGAGTGGGAAGCCTCATGTTTTTTTATATAATTTCTTTATTTCCAGGTATGTTACAAACATGTTACAGCCATTACAATACGTACTTGTACATGTATATTTAACTTCCATATAATTTGATACGTAGGTATACTTTGGTACACAACTTTCTACTTAACTTACATTTGCATGTTCGGGATCCTATTACATATAAGTTCAACAAGACTTACAGACTTAGTGTATATTGAGATATAGCATTTATACGTGGTTCCTATCGTAAACTGTAAAATATAAAATACGTAACTATGAAATACACCGCGGTGAGCACTTACCGCTGCCCCATACCCACGCTGACCCTTATCGATGACCTCTGGTGCCATGTACTGCAGAGTGCCGGTGAACGTTTCCGTACACGGGTTCATTCCGGTGAGGCGCTTACTCGTTCCAAAGTCGACGATCTTCAGGACTCCACTGTATGTGTTCACGAGCACATTGTCACCCTTGATGTCACGGTGGACGATCTACTGGTCGTGCTGCGTCGGACAGAAGAAGTACACGCTGTTA